AATTTAAGTAAAACGAAGTAAAATCCTTTGTAGCGACTCTTTGACGTTGCACACCCCGTATTCTTCAGGTTAATCATGTACAAATGAAACCGCACGATGTCAGAATAATGGTTATGTAACTTTCGAGTGGCAGCATCCTTTGTTCCGCTATTCTGTTGAACAGGTTTTCTTCTTACTTGCCGCCTAGAATATGGAGCGGCAAACTAAGACAATTTTCTGTTATGCATATCTTTTGTCACAAACTTTCCATGTAAACACGACTGGAAAAACAGATTGGTCAGCTTTTAGGTTCTTTGTCCATACATCAAATGAAAAGTCGTTTCTCACACGCAGACCGCAGAGAAGGAGTTAACACGAGATCGATGAGAAAACCAGAGTGGATAATTGAGATATTACATGTTGCTTGTTCATTCTACAACTACTAGCGGACTCATTATTTGCTACGGACAAGACATATATGGCAATCTGCATATTTTTGTGCAATCCTCACATTCATTCATCCTTTCTCTGATAAACAGACTGAAGTGTTGAAGGTAGCCAAATAGTTCTGTTCGTTATTTCCGTTATTCCAGAGCTTGAATCAATCACCTCAATTATTACTGGAATTTTCCGTCCAAGTTGAAGGATTCTTACTAGCCTTTGATAATACCCTGTTAATCAAAGGGTTCCACGGTGTAAAATTACGCAGCCTTCCATGCCTATGACTAGGAATACCTCGCCATTTCACAGCAGATAATAGATTCACTGTCTACTCAGAATATCATTACAGTGCATTTATGAAGAAAGTAACTCTATTGCATCGTTTCATTCGAAGAATTAACCTCAATGCATACTAATTATTCCATCCATCCATCCATGAATAGGGCAACGTTTTCTTGTCATTCACTACCAAACGTTACATAATCTTACTAATGTGTAACTGTTGCTGCCACCAGTAAAATAGTTACACCGGTAAAGTTTGCTGAAAACCATCCTAATACCTGCAGAATGCAAAGAGAAAATGAGAACGATCGCTACAAGAAGATTTGACGTTTTAGCGCATATAAAAGATTTGCATTGTGCATCGAACCGTACAAACGCCAGTGTATGTATTCACAACCGATGATGCAGTATCGACTGGCTACAGAAGCGTTGGACTACGTTTGCAACGAAGGGCTTTACGGTAAAAGTGGACACTAGTGCGTTTTCTTACTGTATTCATGCAGGTATGCTTAAAAACTGGGACTGTCTGGTGAAGGTGATGGCGAGTCGTGAAGTGATCAACTGTGAAAATGATATGATCCGAAACAATGGTGCTGACGCATCCTACTCGGGTTATGGCTCACCCGATGATCGTCTGTGCAGGTCATTGTCGTTATTGCTTGGTCCAACTTTCACTGATCAGTGTTCACAATTTGGTTTTTTTAGAAACTTGAATGAGTACATGCAGTGCACGAAGTATCCAGTTATAAGTGAGTGCGGTGATGAAGCATGGCAAGAATTTTCGGAAACTGCCAAGCGACAAGCTAGAGTCTTCCTACCTTTCTGTACATTGGCAGGCTTCAGAGGCGTATCGTCAACTGTCATTGTCTTTGTTTCTTTAATCTTGGCATACGCATGGAAATCATTGTTTTGACTCTGTTGCAAATTCAAACTTTCAGGCCAGCTCATTTGTGTACAAAAATACTTCTTCAAGCTGTAAATAAAGTTACTCATCAATTGTGATGGCTTAAAGAAGTTTGTCGTTTCAGTAGGAAACGCCATTAATAAACCAATACAGGTACAAATCAGACAAAAAAATGGCTCAAAACTTAGTTCGCAGCTTATAGCTGATGGGGATATTAAACAGAATGGGAAAAATTTTATGGAGATTGGAACAGCAATGCTAGGTTTCACACAGAAAATGGTTTTGACTCGGTCTTGATCCATCGTTGGCCAAAAATTGCCAAAAAAATGTCAGATCCAGTAAAGCCTGGGCCATTGCAATGAGCACCAATGTATAGTACTCTGCGCCCACTTTCATGTTTACTTTGCTTGTGACAACTGTTGCGAAATGATGTGACAAAGCCCTGTCAGTTGCCTATAACAGTCACAAAAGCATCCTTGTCTCTGTCAACACATTTATCTGGCATCGGCGATGACGGAATTAAGTATCATCTTATGGCATTAATGCAATAAAGCAAACTCCGCGACGA